TTTATTTGGTTTTTTTGGTTATATTTTTTATTCCCATAATACAGTGCTATAAGCAATACTCAGAAAATAAAATATTTGAAGTCTAAAAATAATACTTCTTACTGCTAAGAAGGTATAATTATTACTAATCAATTTGATAGGGATACATTTTTAATGCAGTCTATTCTACTTCCACTTAGAATATATGGTGTTATGTTACTAAAGTAGCTAAATAACCAAACAAAGGATTTGTGCAAAAAGACTTGCCAAAATTTACTTGACTGTTGAATCTTGAACATCCAGCTTTTATAGGGACTTCTTAAGAAGCCCATAAACTATGCATGATGAAAATTTTTTTATATTTTATTGAAAAATAGCCATTGGTTTACTCATCACAACTATGGAATCATGGCTATAAATAGCTGCTTAAAAACTGTGTGACTTGTAATTTAACTTAATCTCATCTCTTACATAAATATTACACTATGATGTTGAATAACATCTTTAGTAGGAATAAACTGCTGTCAATCTTGACTTCAGAGAAACTCTGAGTAATCAAATAGATAAAAGCATGTTTTGAGTAAAATAGGTAGAGTTCTACTTCATTTGTATTGTGTACAGATTTAACAATATCCAGCATTGTGGCCTGACAGATAAAAGTATCAGAATGAAAATGAGGTTCCTTGTGTTACCTGACTGTCAAATAATTAAAAGGATTTATATTAATTTAAGATGTTTATACTGCTCAGTAAGGGTAAGTTTCATTTATATTGTTAGGAACACCCACAAAGTTTTGCAGACTACTTTGTGTCTTTGGTTTACCTTAAACCCCCTCCCCCTTTTTAAATTTTGAGACAGGGTCTTACTAGTTGCCCAGGCTAAGGTCAAACTTGCAGTCCTGCCTTAGCTTCTCAGAGTGCAACCACTGAGCTTTTTATCCTTGCTTTTTTTCCCTTCCTATTCAGGAAAGAATAACTTCTAAATTAAGGCTTAATACATGTGTGAGAAAACACTAGACTCTCAGGTATAAAATGAACTGAGCAATTTGGAGAGTGTATTGGATTTTGCCCCCACCCCCAGTACTTTTGAGGCAGTGTGCTAGAAAGGGAAGAGCAGGGGTCCCTAGGGTCCAGTGGCCTATACCACAGCCCCACTTTGCCCTCTGCTGCCAGTAACCACAAGTGCTTTCTACAGCTTATCTCAGATTCAGGCTCCAAACCTGTAAGATACAGACGATCAGAACAGTACCTGCCTCACAGAATTGCTGGGAGAATTAGTAATGTAGATGTTTATATATGTGATACACTTAGAACAGTGTCTGCCTCTTTTCACTTTGATGTCCAGGACTGTGTAAGAAAATGCATGTCTTCTGAATTCTCTACTTACCATATCTTTTGCTTGCAGTCTTTGATTCCTATAATAGAAGGAACAGTAGAATTTATATTTGTATATTCATGTGGACACATAATTGCTTCCAACCTTATTTAAAATTTCAGTGTAAGACTAAGAAGTCTCAAAGTTGCTTGAAGATATTTTATAGAATACTAACTGCTCTATATTTCTTTATAGAAAGTTTATACTTGCTAGTATTGATGGCTATGGGCATCTCATTTTTAAGTTTTAATGAACTCTTTTACTATAGAATCATGACAACTAATTAGTACTGACTGGTTTAGAGGTTTCTTTTCTCACCATGTGTAATACTGTAAAGAAATCAGATGCAAACTGCTACAACTAGAAAATAAAATATAAACCAGTTTTCAACAACAACAACAACAACAACAAAAAAAAGAGGTTCATGAGGTCAGGACCAGTCTGGGCAAAACTGTGAGCCTCCAACTCAAAAAGTGAAAAAATACACAAAAAATTTGGCAAAATTCAGCAGTAACTAGTGATACCTTTAATCTTGGGCTTATCTTTGTTGGGGGATGTCTTAATTACTTTTCCTATTGCTAGCACAGAATGCCTGACACCCACAAGTCAAAGGAGGAAAGGGTTATTTTGGTTCACAGTTTGTAGAGGTTTCAGTCCATAGTTGGCTGGTTCCAAGGCAGGGCAACATGTCAGAGAGGGGCATCGCAGAGGAGAAACAGTCCATGGCATGGCAGGCAGGAGGCAGCAAAACAGGGAGCCTTCTCTTTTTATTCCATTCAGGCTATAAGCTCATTGGTTGGTGGCACTCATACCCAGGATAGATCTTCTGTCTTCAATAAATCCATTCAGCCACATCCAGAACCAGAGTCACATCCAGAACTGATAGTGAACTGATAGGTTATCCAGTTATCACACCCTTGATACAGTATTACCTACCCATGATTCAGCCACCTTCAAAAGCCTGAACTATGAACACATGAGGTTTTGAGGGGACATCTAGACATAAGCTATAATGGGATTTTTATTACTAATCCAATTTCATTATTTGCTATTGGTCTATTTTTTTTTTTGGTACCAGGGATCAAACTTAGGTCCTTGCGCTTGCGCAGCAGGCGGTGAAACCACTGAGCTAAATCCCCAGCCCGGTCTATTAATTTTTTATATCCGTAAGTTTCCGTTTGGGTAGTTTATGTTTCCAAGAATTTATCAGTTTTTCCTAGCTTCTCAATTTGTTCATGTATAGTTATTCAATAATAGGCTCCAATGATCCTTTGTATTTCTGTGGTATCAGTTGTAGCATGTCCTTTTTCATTTAAGATTTTACTTGGGTCTTTTATTCTTAGCGTAGTTAAAATTTTATTAAATTTATCTTTTTAAAGAAATTTTTTCAGAGGCTGGGGATTTAGCTCAGTGGTTCTGCCCCCTGCCCTACAAGTGCAAGGACCCGAGTTCAATCCCTGGTACCAAAAAAAAATTTTTTTTCATTGGTCTTTGTTATCAATTGCTTAATCTCTATTTTGTTTATTTCAGCTCTGATCTTTGTTATTTATTTCTACTAGTTTGGGGTTTGGTTTCATCTTGCTTTTCTAAGTACTTTAAATGCTTTGTTAGGTGGTTTATTTTAAATCTATG